ACACATGGGTGGCCCCAAATTCAAGTTTCCATGCAACTTTTAGCGCCAAAACCTGGCCTTGCTCTTCCAGGTTTTCTTTCTAGCTTTGTCCTGGAATATGAGAAAGATGATTTTTCACTATATTCTTTTATCTTCACCCTGGGAATAAGGTAAAATGCAGGTCATATTTTCCTGACACTCAAATTATTTCCTAATTTTTCTTAGACATATTTTGTGTGCTTTGGGAGACATTAACTTTCTGGAACTTTATGGCATGGATTGTTCTGGTTAGATCATTGATTGTCCCATAAATACCTGAACCTGAGCAAACTATAGTGACAAGAGACTGTCACCTTCCAAAATGCCTCACTTCCTCATAACAGAGATTTGGTCATTAGAAGAATGTGTGGCTCCTTCATTTTGATCAAAAGGGAGTAAAATCTTCAAAACATTGGCCCCTTGAACAGAATGGGTTAGGGAACTCAGGATAGTAGAGTCATTCAACTACAAACCTGAAATGTACTCTGCTTTAAGTGTATTTGCTTTTTTGTTTCTCTGAGCTTTAAGGCCCTGCTGCCTGTCCAGTATCTCTACTTCTCCACTCCCTTCCTCCTCCCAAGATATATCCAGGTTCTTTTTTTTTTCTTTAGCTACTTTTTTCTCTCTCCCTTAAATTTCCAGGTTGGCAGAGGACAGTGGCAGTAGAATCTGCTCACCTGATATGCTTGGGGTTATGGTTACTCAGTACTGCCCACTCTGGCCATTAGTGGAATAACACCATTTGAACAATGCTGTTTGACAGCCTTCAAGAAGCTGCCATTTTGAAATAGGAAAGGCCAAGTAGGGCTTGCAGTTGGCTTTCACTGAGCTAAATACGTATGCCAAGGTGAGAAAGGGTAGGGACAGTACTGGGGAGGTAGCCCATTAGAGCTAACCAACAGGGCTAAAATTCCCCAAACTGCTATTGCAGTATGCAGTCAAGAGGTGGGGGCATACACCCATTATTATTCAGGTCCAGTGGGGCCTTCCCCCAAATCCACTTCTGGAACATGAACTTCAGATTTCCTTCAGTGGCCAGAGAAGTTTAAAATAAATACTTAATTAGACCTAATGAATGGTCTCATGAATTTCTACATAATGTCTCCTCTTCTATATAATGTTCCCTCTTCGAAGCATCTTCGGTGCTTGTTCAAGCTCAGGAATGAAGATGCCTTTCACAGTACAGCAGATAAAGGGTACTAGATGAACATTCCCTTCACTCTTCCCTTTCACTTATACCCCCAGCATAGTTCCCAGTCCAAACCTATAACTTGCATTTGCACAGAGACCCCTAGAAATTGTGCTTAAATGATCAAGTCATTGCAATCTGCCAGTCTAGCCGGCCCCACCTCCCTGTAGAGTCATGCAATGAAGAGTGGGTTGTCATTTTGCAAAGCTTGCAAGGACATTTGAGGGAAACTCTTCTGAGTACTTTCCTGGCCTTGTGCCATGCTCAGAGGCGAAAATTAAAAATGAACTAGCAAAAGGTTCCAAACTTGTTCTTGCCCTTGAAGGCCCAGCCGAGGTCTGAAGGGCCCTGTCACAGGAGCGGCTGAAGGCACCTGAGGCTCTCTGTGCCCAGTGTTGAGAGGCACTGTGGAGAAAAGGGAGCTAGGGAGCCTAAGAACCAAAGAGGCTTGATGGAGATTTTTTATATTTTTTAGTCAGAGCCAAAGCCTACAAACGCAGCCTCTGTGCCAAGAGGAGCTGTTTAGGTAGGAAACTTACCTAAAGCAAACTGCTGAAGGCTTTTGAGAGGGAGTATGGCATGGGACACTGGACTTTTTGGGCTGACGGACTTTTTAAAAGATAAGATTTTCTCCTGGGTAGGGTGCCAGATTTAGCAAATAAAATTAAAATAGAGAATACCCAGTATATTTGAATTGTAGATAAACAAGCGAATCTATAACTTTTTGTTTGGATTTAATTAACAAATTTATTTATTTATTTATTTATTTTTTTAGTTTAAATATGTCCCGTGTAATATTTGGGACACACTTATACTAAAAAAAAAAAGTATTCCTTGTTGTTCTGAAATTCAGATTTAACTCGGTATCTTGTATTTTATTTGGCAGTCCTAGTCCTGGGGAACAGAAATGGTCCCTTTAAAAAGGACCCCCTTCTGTCATCCCTTCCATTTTTTGTGCACGTCCTAAGAGGGTAGAAGGAAGTCTCAGGAGAAAAGACCCTCTCATAGGCTGTCAGTCATCTGTGTTAATTTGAGAGAAAAGCAAGGCCCTTTCCTGACTTTTTTTTATTATTATTATTTTTAATGTACTATTTTATTGTCACTTCATTATTCACTTCCAAAAGCCTGGTATTAATGTAAAATTACTCCTCTTAAATGATAATCTTGGGTACCTGAGACCATTCCCTCTGCTTTCTTCCTTCCAGAGACCCCGGCTGGTTTCTCTGGCTTGCCCCTATTTTATCCCATTCTTTTTATTTAATGAGGTTAATAAATAACCTTTATGAAAATCCAGCTACAGGAGCCTTGCCTCAGATGATCTTACCCTCACCTTATATTTCCCTATCCTCCATCTCTGCTCTCTCCTCACCTGCTCTGCCCTGTCCTCAAGGGACAATGACCCTGGCTAATGTCAACTGGATTCTCCTTTTACCTTCCATGTTATGGCAGGTTCTATTTACCTGTCAGTATGGGTTTTGGACTGTTTTAAAAAAATAAATAAATAAAAATGTTTTGTTTTGTTTTTTTTTTCCTCCTCGGAAAGTTGCATGTTGGGTATTTGGCCTTTGCTGACCAATACACAGACTTGGCTTAGCCAGATCACGGAATGTGCCCCTTGTTCTGAACTTTATTCTGACTTTGAGGATAAATACACAGGAAGAGCTGTTTTCTGCTGGAGCTGATGAGTTCTAAAGGCTCTTCTTTCTTTTATTCCCAGCAGACCCACTTCATTTTCTCCCATTTTCCCAGTTTTCTCCCACCTGGTCATCATCTCTTGGCTACTAGAAGACCAGAGAATGTCATTTAAACTGCACCCTGGCAACAAATTCTAGATAATCATGTACTCTGACCACTCTGCATGGTAGACCATTTAAGCCTTCTTCCCTTCAGTGTTCATGGATCCCAGACTAGAAGTTCTAGATACCTGGCCCTGATATAGGTTGCCCTCCATCCATGGGCTCCTCTTGCCCCAAGGGAAGCTGGACTTGGAGACTCCAAGTAATAACAGTTCCAGCATGACCCAAGACACCCTGGCCCTTCTGATTCTGTCTGGATTTACCTGAGACCAGTCATTTCTCAGCGAAATCTCATTTGGCCAATAGAAATCAGTGCACCATAGGTGGTGTAGCACCACTGGCTCTTTGAAGCTGTCTGTTAGCCACATGAAAACAAAATAATATTATACATCCCTTGAACAATTGTCTGGTCCAGAAGACCTACTTGCTCTTTTGTTTACCCTTTCCTGGAGCCCCTACATATGCTTCCTCAGATGGCTTGGAAGGAGAGGACATAAGAGCCAACTTTAAACTATCAAATGTCAATTTTCTTATGATCCTTGAAAAGTTCATAGATCATTTGGAACTAGTTGCATATCAAAGCAAAAACTAATAGAAGATAATAGGATTTACCAGTTCTTAAAGTTAACTCTCTAGAACATGGGTTTGCTGTTTGTAGCCCTTGGGTCAAATCCGGGCCACTACCTGCTTTTTGTAGTAAAGTTTTAATGGAACACAGCCACACTAATTTGTTTACATCTTGTCCATTGCTGCTTTTATGCTACAATGCAAAGATGAGTAATTGCAAAGACCGTATGGCCCACAAAGCCTGAAAGATTTACCGTCTAGCCTTTTACAGAAAGAGTTTGCCAACCCCTGCTCTTGAACAATGGTTCTCAGCCTTGGTTGCACGCTAGAGTCACTTGGAAGAGCTTTTTAAAAATCCTCATGCCTATATTTATATCTGTAAGACAGTATAGAACCCAGATATCTGCAATTTTTTTTATTATTTATTATTATTTATGCCTACAGCACCTGGTCTTCCTAGGTGGTCTCCCATCCAAATACTAACCAGGCCCAACCTTGCTTAGCTTCCGAGATCAGACATCGGGCTTGTTCAGGGTGGTATGGCCGTAGACCATGGACCGTGGCTCTACTGGGGCGCAAACCCAGGAACTTCTCTGTTTAAAGCAGACACTATGGAACCACATCCGATATCTGCATTTTTTAAAAGCTTTCAGGTGATTCTGATGCAGTAAGGGTGGTTGTCAGTATTCACTGGATATGAAAGGAAATAAAATGCATCATGTCCCCTCTCCTGTCTTTCTCCCCACACTCTCATACATATTCACATGTGTGCTTATGCACATACATGTATAACTGCTCACATACACCTTGTCTATTCCCTGCCCGACCCTGGGGGTCTGGGAGTTGTAGCTCTGGAATCCTGCTCCACCAGCCCAATGAGAAATAAGCAACATCTGGGAGAGCTGATGTCAGCCCGTGGCTTAGAGCCAGAACCTGGCTTTGCTAGAATTTCTCCTTTTTGACTCACTGAGCATTGCCAACTTTCAACAGGGTCTGTCGAAAGCATTCTCCAGAGCAACTTGGAAGTTCTTTCTTGCCCTACCTCCCTCCTCCCAAGCTACTCTTGCTCCAAAAATGGGGCCAGCCTACCCTCCCACTGTTTAGCTATTGTATCTCCTAGGTCAGGTTTTAACGTGGCACAAGGCAACCCCACCAGAAGTGTGGATTCTCAGGGCTTATGGCTTTTCTCTGAATATTTCTCATTTTTCTCTAATGACCTTTGCAACTTTTCCACCTCATGTTTTGCCATCTGGCCACCTTGTCAGTCTCTTACATCAGAGGGCTAGGTAGCTTGCAGGAAAATGGAAAAGAGAGACTAACTTTCTGGGGCTTGCAGAGGGTTTTTAAAAATTGCTAAATAAACTCCTGTTTTCACACAGCACACCATTCCGGAAGGCAAAAGCCTTGTACGCCTGCAAAGCTGAGCACGACTCAGAACTCTCGTTCACCGCAGGCACAGTCTTCGAAAATGGTGAGTTTTCTCAACCCCTGGCAAAGACGGCGGGGAAGCAAATAAATAACTGGAGTTTTCAAAGTTCCTACCTAAGAAAAACCTCAATAGAATGAGTAAGACTGAAAAAGAATGTTTGTTTGTGTCTTCTCCCTAAATGAGAGAGCAGCAGCAAGCCGTTGGGAGGTGCTGTCAAGAGCAGACAGATGCCGTTAGCTCTTCGTGCTGACGGTGGCACTCTCACTGGGGCGATGTGGACATTAAATGCCGTCATGCCTGTATAGGGCTAGCCCAGCACCTGGCAGTGGCTTTGAGAGTCTAGGGGCTGAAGAGCGGGTGGGAGACGAAGGAGTGGAGAACAAGGAACCTGCAAGTGGTCAGAAGCTCAGTTTCTGAGCCCCTTTCCTTTGGTGTTCAGTGGCATTCACTGTCCACAGCAAGAGAAGCCATTTTCCGAGGTGGCAGGGCATTGGGTGAGCTCTAGGCAGTAAGCCTCGCTCGTCCCTGCTCGTCATCCTGTGAAAATGATTTGTGGCATCTGCCCCTTAGAGCTGGGAACTAGTACTTGTTTGATACACCATATTCTTTTTTTCTTTTGTTTTCCTCCCTTTAAAAAAATATTTTTTAAAATGAGAATTGATATCATAATTTGTTATACTTTATCATTTACCTAACAGGAAAGTCAGGATTCTAGGGAAAAGCCCAAGTTTCTATTAAAGCTGAGATTTTTCCCCAGATGAAGTTCTCTTTTGGGGTTAATCTTTCCAGATCTCTGGGTGACAGCATCTGTTTGTTTTGCTCAAAAGAGGAAGCAAAAGCAGGTGCCTGGTTTCAAGAAATGGACATTTTTGGGGGCTCTCTTCTTGACCTCAGGTGGGATGGGGGCAAAGTTCCCAGGTGGGGGTGTATGCGCGTTGCTCAAGCACTCCTCATCATGGCCAGGCAGCCACCCACCGCCTGCCTGAGACCCAGAAACCCGGGCAGCCAAAGCACAAGTCCTGGATTAGTCACTTGCTCCTGTGTGATCTCAAGCAGTAACTTAACCTCTCTGTGCCTCATTTCTTTCCTCTGTCATGTACAGATAACAGTGTTGTGAGAGAAAATTGAGGTAGTATACATCACGTGTTTAAATAGTTCTCAGCATATTTTAGACATTCTTTCCGTATGTTAATGTTGTTATCATCGTCGTTACATCCGTGCTTGCAAAGACCCTGCTGCTGTCTTAGTTCGCAGTGACAGTCTTTCCTTTTCAGCTGATAGCACCCAGGCCTGGCTCTCGCTTACACAGTACGTGCTGCATCTTGACCCCCTGGGCCATGTCTATCTGTAAGGGTCTCGAGGTCCAAGCCAAAGCAAATGTAGACTCCTGGGGACCTTGACTGCATCCACGTACCAAGGGTCTTTCCCCGGTGTGGCCAGCCCCTGCATTCAGTGTAGGAGAAATGCTAATCAGGCATAGGGAGACAGAATGGGAAACTGGTCACCGAGCACCCGGGGGATCCCCAGGTCACACTCCGCCCTGGACCTTCTGAGCCAGCAGAGGTGAGGGAGAGCTCATAACTACATGTGGCCTGCTGGGTCTGTGTCCTCTTTGATGGTTCTCAAAGCCCCAAAAGCACTGTCCTTAAACCTTTGCTCCATTAACTTTCGTTTGGACCCTTTACAAGTCAAAGCACACAACAGCCAAGCCCAGCTGCCTTTCCTGTCAGCAGCTGGAGCTTTCAGACCCCAACAGACCTGCAGGTGAAGTGGGCCAATGAAGGCTGTCCAAAGCCATGTCATTGGTGAGTGTACCCCAGATAATCCCATGTGGGGAGTCACAGCTCAGCCACAACATGATAGAGCTTCCACAGCAGGCAAACCAGAGTGGACTGCGCGCACGAGCTTCTGTGTCCTGCTCTGTCAGCAGAGGAGGGGCTTCTGCCGATAGATGAGCAGAATTTGAGAGAGCACCACATTTATAGGTGGGTCCAGTTTAAAGGTCTGTTCTCTAAACTCCAATTCGCTGCTCCCATGGGCAAGGGACTGCCCTGTTCCTATCAGCTATTCACTCCGACAGCACAAAGGACCCCTGATCCCAGGGACAGAATTGGTTTAAGCTCTCACAAGGTCTGTGTATGGATGTGTGTCTTGTTTGTGACCTCTTTTCTTGAGTATAGCCTTCTCCCATTTTTTAAAACTGCTGTGTTGCAATATCCACATACCATACAATTTACCCATTTAAAATGTACAACTCAGTGGTTTTTAATGTATTCACGGTTGTGCAAACGTGACCGCTATCTAATTTCAGAATATCTTCATCACCCCCAAAAGAAACCCTGTACACTTTAGCAGTTGTGCCTCATTTACCCCCAGCTCTACCCCATCCAGCTAAGGCAACCACTAGTCCACTTTCTGTCACTATAAAATTGCCCGTTCTAGATAATTCATATAATTGCAATTATATAATTATGTGGTCTTTTTAATTGGCTTCTTTCACATAGCATATTTTCGAGGTTCGTCCATGTTATATCATGTATCAGAATCCCATCCTTTTTCACTGCTGAATAATATTCCATTTTATGAATATACCACATTTTATTTATTCTTTCATCATTAACGGACATGTTGAGTATTTTCATTTTTTAGCTGTTATGAGTAACACTGCTATAAATATTCATGTACAAGATTTTTGTGAGGACATGTATTTTCAGTTTTGGTGATATACCTAGGTATAGGATAGCTGGGTCATACAATAACTCTGTTTAACCGTTCAAGGAACCGCCAAAGTGTTTTACAAAGGGGTTGGACCATTTTACATCCCACCTTCTGCTTTTGTCTCCTTTTTGAAATAGTTTAAGTAGCTAACCACAAAAAGAAAAGGCACCTAGGTAATTTTTAACTGCCAAATCCTTTCCTTCCCAGCAGGGTGCTCTGCCTGGCAGGCTCTGTGACAGCTCCCACCCCACAGCTCCGTGGGTCATAGGTCCTATGCTGGCAAATGAGAGCAGGAGAGAGGCTTGGTTTAATGAGTCAGAGGCATCACCCGAGCCTTCCTTTGGTCTCTGGGAGTCATGGCAGAGTTCATTGACTCTAGCTTGTTTTTAATCAGCAATGTCAATGACCTTTCAAATTCCCTAAAGAGCAAAAGACCAAATTAAGCCTAGAAAAAAAACACCTCTCAATGTTGACTGAGCTGCAGTCGAAGAAGCATCTGACAAAATGTTAATCCACTATATAGACAGGTTTGGCTGGTAATATTTTTATTATGTCCAATTTTTAGAAAATGCTGCCTATCCCAAATTTCCCCTTCCCTTCACCTCTAAGAGAAATCAGGCATTAGAGGAGAAAAATTATTAACATATTAGGCAGGGAGATCTTTTTCCTTATTCTATCTCTCGTTAGTTTATTGATAGATATATTAGGTAAGGGCTGTTTAAGTTGAATGCTCTTTAGCTGTCAGATTAAATCATCAGACCAACCAGAAGAAAGTTTCCTAATGATGGAATTAGAGTGAGTTCAGTGTGTTTGCCACATGTCGTCTTTTCAGGATCAAGAAGAATGAATAATGAGGAGAAGAGGGAGGGGCACCATGAGGTGAAAGTCTGTTGCTTCATAATGATTAACCTCCAGGCCCTTGGATCCCAGGGGCCCGCACTGCAAATCTAGAGTGGCTGCTCAGTCAGCTTTTGGACTTTGTGCAGTGGGGAATGGACCTGCAATACTTGGAAATAACTCTAGTGTCAGTCCTTGCCAATCTACTAGGAAACTGTTCACTTCACCAGGAGTGAGCACCTCAGACAGTAACTGGAAAGAGAAATAACTCGTATTCTCTGGAACATGAGTCATGTTGAAGCTACATGATTAGTGATACCTGGAAAATTCACATGGCATTCACTAAAATTGAGTTCTTGGGATACTTTTATTAAGATTTGAGATGGGCTGGATCCATTCATCCTCCGGGTTCAGGGTGCAGCATGCATACAGGGCAGGGCTGCCCCAGGTTTCCTTGACTGGTAGAGAGCGTCCTCCCCAGGGGGCCACCGAGCTGCTCAGGCAGTGGGGTTACGGAGAGTGCCTCAATGGAGTCTTTCTGCCTTCCCAGCCAGCTCTGCTGCCAAACCCAAGCCTCCGCCTCTCACCCGGGCATTTCCGCCAGCTGCCTAACTGGCCTTGTCATGTCTCCCTCACCTCCATAACCTGTTCTCTACACCGCAGCCAGAGTGACCTTCAAAAAAAGGAGATCACATCATGTTATTCTCCTGCTTAAGATATTCTGGCGGCCTCTCGTTGCTTTTGGAATTATTGATGAGGACCTCCACGGTCTGGCTCCTGCCCCTCTGATGCCTTCTCACCCTCCCTCGATACACTGCAGCCTCACAGGCCTTCTTTATGTCTTCAAATGGGGTTGGCAAACAGTGACCTGCCAGGCAAATCCAGCCCCTTCCCGTGTTTGTAAATAAAGCTTTACCGGAACACACCCACCCACACCTTTTTGTTTACATATTACCTATGGCTCAACAGTGACAGAGTTGAATAGAGATACACATTTACTATCTGGCTCTTTAAGAAAAATTTGCAGACTACCAGTATAAAATCACACCAAGACTTTCTTCATTTTAAAGCCTTTGCACTTACATTACCCCTGCCTGGCTGGCTCCTTTGGATCATTTAGCTTTTAGCTTGTTGAGCTCTTCCCCACCTACCCACATCCCTATCCCAGTCTCTTTCACTCCCCCACATCTTTACCTAAAATTATATGCTTATCTATTATAGATTGTTTCTCCCTGAGAGTGAAATTTTGTCTGCTTGCTCTGTGCTATGCACAAGGACCTAGTACAGTGTCTGGTACATGGTAGGTGCTTAAACATTAAAAAAATGCATTCAAACTACACAGGAGTCTATGCTTCTTCCAGCTAGTGCTTCTTCCTTTTGGAGCAGCCAGCCATTAGGGATCTTAGTCACACACTTGCTCCTTGTCTACATTGAGCAAAGGAGGGAAGAGAGCATGAGTTGTGTATGCAGGCGTGTGTGCTATATACATGGATAGAACTGAGAGAAAGTGGTTGGCAGGAAACACACCCATGTCAGCAGCAGCTTATATTTATTATATACTTGCTGGGCTGGAGAGCTGCCCAGCCAGCTCACTGCAGCACCTTGTGCGTTTGTGTAGCACATTGGACACTGGTGCAATTCAGAAGGTTGGACATTGGCACAATTCAGGCCAACAAATACTTATAAGCATCTTCGAAGTCCAAAGCATTGGGCTAGGCAATAGTGGTCATGGTTAAGATCACAGATTCTAGGGTCAGATATTCTGAGTTCAGATCCACCTCTGTCATCTACCAGCTATGTAATTTGGGGACAGATGCTTAACGTCTCTGAGCCTCAGTTGCTCATCAGTAAAATGAAGATAATAGGACCAACTCTATAGTCATTCTGAAAATGAAAGGAGGTGATGCAGGCAAAGCACTTAGCAAAAGACCTACTAATAATTAGTCTGTGCTCAATATTTGTATCATTCTTATCCTCGCGGATCATATTCTCTGGTTGGATAAGAGGCATAATGTAGTGGAAAAGGGTGTGGGCTCTGGAGTCAAACAAGCTGGGTTCAAATTCTGGACTCCTCCTTGTGTGAGTGTCATGAATGCAAAGTACCCTTGCTGCTTTTGGCTTATTCCTAAAGCCTAGTGATATGAAATTATGCATGCATTTTGGAGGCAAACTAACAGATGTTTGACCTTGCCTTGCCTTTTCCTACAGAAGCATTCACAATATAGTCAAGGTTGACAGTGATCTTCTGTAAGCCTCAGTGTGTATCCTTCTGCTGCTTTCTCATTTGCTCCCATTGTTGCTTCTTTCTCTACAAATGGAAACTAGATTCATACAGTAGTTTTGGGGACGGAAATGTTTTTCTAAAACAAGCTCAGGAAGTCACTTAATTAGCCTAGGAAAGACTAGTGGAAAATTCATTCTCTCCAAACAATCTCAGAAAATTAGAGTTTCCCTAATCCATTAAGAGCAATGCCCTGCCTCGCCCAAGAATGATTTGTATTCCCAACTCACAAGCATGAACACTGCCTTTCCCCAAGTCCCACGATTCCCTCTCTCTTCATTCTTGCTTTGACTGCTTTGCAGACTCAGCTAGATTTTTTGTGATCTTTGCAATATCACAGTAGTTTCTATGGTGATGGATTGTGGTGTCACAGAAATGGGTATATATTCTTTTGATATTGAAAAATCAAAGGGGCAGAAATTTTGAAAGTTGCAATAGAGAGAGGAAGAGGACAGCTTTCAGACTTTTATACAGGAGGGAGGAAAATTCTAGAGAACAGGAAAGAAAGCTAAGAATGGATGCGGATAGAACAGGAGAGGACTATTCAAAGACTATAAAGTACAAAAACAAAAGCAAAATAAAAAACTCATAGAGGGAATTTACAAGAAAATTAGAAGCAGAGGGTAAACATTTGAAGGCAAGTAAAATGCATGATTAAGAGCTAGATTTCTTTAAAGACTAGTTCTTAGCAGTCTACCATTGGTATTCCCCTTAGTACATAAGTCAGTACTGGGTAGGTAGATGGATACATGGATGGATGGATGGATGGATGGATGGATGGATGGATGGATGGAAGGAAGGATAGATGGATACATATATATATAGATGGAGCACCATAACTGTCATCTCTAACCTAAAAAGTAGAAATCTGTCACTTTATAGTTTAAACCAGGAACTTCAGAAAGTCTGTGAAACTCCTAAAATTGTATGCAAACTTTTAAATGCCTGTGTCAGTTTCCACTTTTCTTGTGAAGAAAGTTCAGCATAGCCTTCATTTGAAGGTTTATTTATGTCCCACAAAAGGTTAAGAAGCTCCGGTTTAAACAAGTCCTAGAGTTATGTAACTTAATGAGCACACTTCCTTCACCTATACGCATTTGCATACATACAGCTGTGTCCACCTCCTGCCCTATCAGTAATGTCATCTCTTCTCACTCTTTCTCCCCTTCCTGTACAGTTCACCCGTCTCAGGAGCCTGGCTGGTTGGAGGGGACTCTGAACGGAAAGACCGGCCTCATCCCTGAGAACTACGTGGAGTTCCTCTAACCGTGGGCCCCAGCAGAAGTGCTGAGCTTTCCATGGTATCCATGACAACCGCTGAGTCCAGTGGTGTAGATCATTTCTCTTTGCCACTGAGAAATGCAGGGTGACTGACTCTGCTGCTGCCTGTCAACACAAACGTTTCTGTGAACTTTGGTGTCACCCATCCCCATGATCATCTCAGCTGACATGTGGTGATACTGCAGGAAACAGAAGTAAATCAGCAGTTGAGGCCATTTGATTTTGATAACCAAGGGAAAGGCTTGTAAAGCCATTCGTCTCCTTCAGCACTCTAAACGGGGAGTACTCATTTTGTTTCAATAGTCATCCAAACTCCTAACCTTCTGAAAAAGGAAGTGAGTAAGATCTCAGTAGTCTCCAAGAACATGCAGGTAGCTAAGGCTGACAGAGCTGGGTAACAGCTCAGATCCAGGCTGAGTCCCTTGCTTGTGTTTGCAGTAGACACTCTCTAACTCACCTCTCAATGCTTGAGACCCACAGTGCTCCAGGCAGCTGGGTCTGTTTGCATGCAGGATGGAGAGGGGTTATAGCACTGTTTACATAAGATCCAATCTCTCACCATCTCTAAAGCAGCTGTTGGCCCAGCATCAGCAGAATTCAGTCCAGTCCTCTCATGCAAGGGAACATACACACCCCACATTCCCCCCTCCCAAGCTAAGAACTTCTCTGCCACCGAGGGCTGCCATCACCTCGTAACCACAGCAACCCAACCTACTCTAAAACCAAACCAAAAAATAACACCCTTTCTTTGTGTGACACTTTTTTCTACCCCTTTGGGTAGTTTTTTGAATGGTTTTCCAACAACCTGAAGCAGAAGATCAAGAAATTAGAGTGGTCTGCTTGGGGCAGACAAAATAGCAGCTGGGAACTGTTTCCTTTCTGATTTATTTCAGCAGCATTGAGATATATTTGGAGCAAACTCTAGTAACCTCTTGAGATTAAATTACGTACAGGCTTAATATTTCTGTTCTTCCATGCAACCAGTGTTTGCTTTCTAGAGGCCAGTATGCTGCCTCCAAATGGGTGACCCCCTCCCTTTTTATGGCTCGTTCCCTAATGTTCACCCCTTTACCTGTCTCTTCCCCTGCCCTTGCCTGCCTTTAGCCCATCACTGACCACTCCCTGGGCAGTTGAGCACTGGAGCCCTGACAGTTTTCAGGGCTGATTCCTAGGCTAGCTCTATGGCCTGTACTTTAAAAGGACATATATGTCTATGTTCACTGCCACTCAGAAAAAGGGAATTATTTCTGAGGCTTTTGAAACATGAGACTAATATCATAAGCCATCGTCATTCAGGGGGACACCAAAAGCTTGAGGCATGGAAGGTGGGATGGGTAACTTCTAAGGAAGAAAATTTCCTGGTCCGGAAGGGACTGGGTCTTGTGGAAGACTGCCTTAGGTGGGGAAGTTCAGCCTGGACATTTCAAATTTATTTGGCCTCCAAAGAACAAAGTCCCCAGGATCTTCCACATTTGAATGTCCTTGCAAGAGTGACTCTGGACAGACAAACTCCCATCCGATGGACTGAGCTCCCCAGGAGCCTCCTGGGACAGCAGCCTTGCTCCAGAGTGTGCTTCTGGAATTCCTCTTTAGGGAAGTTTAAACAAGAAAAGAAAAACTTGAATTGTGTTGAATTACTGTATCTTTTACTTTTTTTTTTTTTTTGAAAAGATAAACTTGTAAATAGAGTGATTTGAAATAATACTGTATGGCAAAGTTTTATATTTGATATCCTTAAAGCTAGTTGCTCCACACATTTAAGCTTTGACTGCTGAACAGTTGCGTACCAGAGGGAGAGAGAGGAGGCGAGGCAGAAAGGAGTCAGGGTCATCTCTCCCTGGCCTCGAGGAAGAAGATACCTCTGTACTCTCTGCTGGCTCTTGTTGGGGAGCGTGGCACACTGATGGTGTTCAGTCTTCTTTATCCTATATATGTGTTTTTGAGCATTCCGTGGGCTTTGGATTTGGAGATGGAAAGAGCATCTTCAGGCAAAGAATTTTTCAAAGAATTCCTACTCAGTAGGGAGATGAAGCTCAGGATTTAAATAGGTAGGGACAGGGCTTAGATTTATTTTTTTTTTCTTCTCAGGTGTATTTCTTGGTACCCCAAGATATCAGGACAGAAGGAGATAGGATAATTCTATGCTCTTTATATCTAAGTCTTCTGCACGTCTTCTAAGACTTTATAAATGAGGCCAAGCTAGTTTGCAAATGTGTGTCGGTTCTGAAAAAAGCTGGCTTCTTAAGATCTTTAGTTCTTAATATGCTACTGCTTCTCTTTTCCCTAAACATGTTTTTGTCTTTCCTGTTTATGTCAGCTTTCCTATAACCTCCAAAGAAGGAAAAACTCCAAAGTGGAATGTAGATTATGCTGTGATAGCTTTATAGATGGTTTTAAAGTTAATAGGAGTTTGTCATTGTGATTCAGTTCATCAGCTCGAGGATTACACGGCTATTATCCAGCAGCAATCAGACACTGCCACTGAATCAGGGAACAAGGATTAAGACTGAACAAGACCAAGATAGGACTCAGGAATGCTAACATTGACAACCCAAGAAGAAACGGAATATACGCCGAGCAGGCTACACCTACTCCCCGTGGACTTTGAAAATCTTGGAGACCTGTTCAAAGGCGTGTGAGGCGACAAGCACAAACAGGAAGAGTGCAACATAATGCTTTGAACACATTTGACGTTTTAAATGGCCATTGGCTCCATTGGAACCTTATGTAGAGCTAGCATGGATGAGCAGACGGCGCGGGCCCTGGTCTGGGGAGTCCCCTGCTGAAGATGCCTGTTGACACCTGGCTTTAGCTTGACCACTTGGAAGCATGTTCCTCCCTCCTTCAGTTGGCCCTGATTGGAAGCCAGAGGGAAATGGAGCTGCTGCCAATGGGAATTTTTAGGTAGACCCCTTCCCGGCTTCCCTGTGGCCATGCTGGGCCTGTGACAGATTGCTGCTCTGTTTCCTTTCCTCAGCCAGGCTTACTTCCTCCCCATTTGCTACAGAACTGCAGAAACTGTTTAGAATACAAGCCAACAAATAGAAAGAAATTTGGAGACTAAAAATAGATTTCACCCTCTCCACCATCTCTGCCCCGCATCCCTTACTCCCTCTGCTTGAATAGGGAACTTTAGGACAGATTAAGGGAGTGAACCAGGTATTAGAGTGGAAGGCTATTGACCAATGTCACTGAGCCGTCCCAGGAGCCTTGTTTCTTTTGTAAAGCCCTGGGATCCGTTTGGTATCCTGAATCTTTTTTGGGTATTAATGTCGGCCTTTTACTCTTCCTTCAGGTACTCACAGAATTCTATAGCTACAGAATGCCAAATCATAAGAAGATAACTAGTTTCAAATCCCTGCCCCCAGGCAAGTAAATTCCTGATTTGCTCAAGGTTAATGATATTTTCTTCTGTTTTCAAAAATGAACATATAGGGCACCTTGTATAGCACTGCCTTCCTCAGTATCCTATCATTGGAGCCAGTTTTTAGCTTAGTGTTTTAGTATTTTGACAGTCAATATGTGTTTTCTTCTGTCAGACCAAACTCTTTTTCAACGTAAAAGATTCCCGTTCATCCCCCTTGCTGAGTGCTTTTTCGACAGAGGCAAAGAGAAAGAGGGAAAATGAGCAATCAAGTATTGACAGACTGGCTTGAGCAGAACAGAGCCATGCTCGTGACAAGGTCATTTCAGGCATCTGTTAGGACTCCACAGTTGTGTGTACTATGTCTAGCTTGAAAGGTAGTCCTTCCACTAAGTGCATTTGTGTCTCCTGTTAAGAGCAACCTCAGTCACACCAAAAGTTCTGACTTGACTGTAGTGACTCCCAAAGCATCCATGACTGAGGGATACAGAGACAGAAATAATCAACAGCCACTTGATCACCTGTTTCTGATAGTCTGTTGGCACCTTTTATCCTCTGGCTTCTGTTTCCAAAAGCAAGTCTGGACCACTCAGATTTATGGACACAGGACTCCCAGGTACAACAGTGGCCACCATGGTGCCCACAGTTTGCCCTCGTATTGAATGTTTTATGAGCAACCATCTTACCCCAAGTAAGTAGCGAACACTGAAGAAACCAAACAGCCTCTTAGCTACCTGACTTTTAAAGAAATGTCCTAGGTATTCCATCTCGGGAGTTATCCGTCATCTCTGGCAAATTTGACAGTAATCAATTACCTAGACCACACTGCCCCACACTTCTTTTAAGCCAAACACACCCTGTGCTGGTGTTTAAAAAATGTATCTTGTCATGCTCAATTGTGCTTGGCAGCCATGCCGATCTGCCGGTGCTGAACCACTTCTCTGTAGTTGTAGCATCAGAATGACAACAACGGCAGAGCAGCGAACCTTGCACAATACTCCAGCGTGCCCAAGACAACACTCCAACCAGTAATAATTAGCTTCTTTCCTTTCGCCGCCTACAGTACTTGTCTAACTAAAGAGCTTCCCAAAGCAGAGGGAGAGACTACATAGAGAATCCAGATGTCATTCAGAGCCAGCCCTTGCTGAAATATGGTCTTCTAATGCAGCGGTCCCCAACCTTTTTGGCACCAGGTACCAGTGCTTCCATGAGCATCTAATGCCTGATGATCTGAGGTGATGCAAGTGCTGGGGAGTGGCTGCGAATACAGCTGAAGCTTCACTTGCTCACCTACCCCATGCTAACCTTCTGCTATGTGGCCCAGTTCCTAACACGCCACAGACCAGTACCGGTCCACGGCCCAGGGGTTGGGGGCCCCTGTGAAGCAATTACATTCTTGGGCAAAAAAAGGATATAAAGTAATACTAGGAACAGAGAGAAAGAAAATGGTGACCTACACTGAAGAACTTTGGATTTTTTTTTTTAAAGGAATAAATATAGTACTTAATGGGAGGGGCAGGAAATTTATCACAAAAAAGTTCACAGCTAATATTTTTGTAAAAGTTTTACAGGACACTGAGATAACATTTTTTTTAAAGTGGAATGCTTTAGAGAGCAAAGGCTTGGCGCAGTACTAGACCCAGGTAAGGGGTGCAGTGACTAGTATGTCAAAATTCTCTTTAGTCATTGAGAAGCAGAGTATTGATAAAATGTCAAAATTACCTGGAGCAGTCCTGGGGAGGCCAAGACGTTCTACACTATTCTTCATCAACCATTTCTACAAAATTGTCCAAATAGACACCCATGAGCAGCTTTCTTGGGTATCCATGTGTCAGGGTCAACCTTGTACCTGTGAAAAGAGGTTCTTCTGATGATTCTAAACTATATATGTCTTAGTATGTGTTTGTGTATGTGTATGTGCAGTGCACATTTACATTTATGAAGATACAGATTCGTATAGAAACCCACATAAGCTGGCAGTAGCTGAGCCTTCACAGCCTTTAAGATTTGAAGATTGAAAATTCAAGAAACAACAGAGGCTGTTGATTGACCATCAAAGTGATCAAAGATGTAAATTAAGTGCCATTTTAAAACTTTGTTCATATTTATCAAATGGTTACTATCTACAGCTGTATTCCGTATTAACTTATTAAAAGTCATGTTGAAAAAAGATCAAACTCATAAGTGTTTACTTAGTAGCTAATATAAATACTAGGCTAAGTGTTCAAAAGCACTCTAAAAGACATTTTGTTCATATTTTGGAGAAGAAAATATTTGCATGTTTAATTCATAATTTAGGCTAACTTTGAGTATATTATAAAGTGCTGTGTGATATAATATCAATAAAGTACTTAAAAATGGCACTTTAATGTTTTTTTTTAAAATCATAATGCACTGTTTTAAACTTCAGTTCAGTATTGAATATTGACTAGTGTGTAGATCCAATTCCGTAATTAAAAAGTAATTTGTGACTAGAACAGAACTTTCTCCCTGTGATTAGTGAAATAGTTTTGCCGTGTTCAAGCTTTAAAAATGCTTTTCGTCACTAGCATATCTATAAGGAAAATACAATTTCTGTTGAGTGGCCTCTGAAACTTGGCTTTCTCACATTTGGTTGGTGTACGTGACAATCTCCATAAAACGAGTGGAAGTATGATTTTTGAATTAAATGACTTTTCCATTGGTGGTATGTTTGTTTCTTAAGGTTTCTGATAAAGTTTTGACATGACGCATATTTTAACATATCTTCAAATCTGCAAAGACCATTATCAAAGGTCACAAGTTTGGGCTCCTGTGGTTACGGAGGGCAACTACAGCACTGATTTCTGATGCATTCTGAGCAGCTTTGGTTTCCTTTAGGAAGAGGTCGAATGCTCATGAACTCGAGGTGGAGCTAGCATCAGGCATGTTAAACAATTAAGCCCAGTTAATATTTCTGACTTTATCTCCTAGAATGGATACATATTGTTTTATTCTTCCTAAACTTGATTTCCTAATTGATCTTCATTAACATGGTATGGAATAATCCAAGAGCCAAATCACAGGCAGTCCCACCACACAGCTAGGCATGTCCAAAAGGTTTGTACATCAGTCACTTATAATGTTGTTCCAGGCCGATTCATATGATTGAGTCTTCTTCCATTCATTGTATCCCTTCCAGGTGCATTCTTATTCAGCCTGGAACTCAGGTTTACAATTAGCTCCCAGCTCCTGCAGTGAGAGCAGAGGACACAGAAGGAGAGGACAGGGGGAGCCAGGGCTCTGAGGATTGAGGGCGAGGCTTCCGGTTCCAGAATCTTGTCCTAGGAGTAAGAGTGAGTCTTCCCTGGTTCTGACGGGGTGGCTATTTGAATGTGTGGGTCATGCGTGAGCTGTTTATACTGTCTTCATATGTCAGTTAATAAGGCATTGGTTTACCCCTACGAATAGCACTGATTCAGCATCTGCTGCCTTCACCAAACTTACACCCTGCCCTGGAAAATTCTCGCATCTGAAGCCTCACACATATCTGAGGTCACAAGGTACCTAGGTGAGACCTTCTGCATGGCCCATATATTTGATGTTCATCATGAGGGAGAATAAAACATATGGTATGTATTTGTATTTTTTTTATGTCTTGGCCTTTCCAACAGACTTTCCAATCATTTCAATGTTTACGTCTTTTTAATAGAAAGGGTTTTTATTTTCATTTTGCTTTTAGCAGCCACTCAGAGCAGAGTTCAATTTATGCCACATCTTGTAGTTTGCTTGTTTTTACTTGTTTGTTCTGGCTTTATGACTGGTCATAAGAGCACCTTGGTTAGAAATGGACTTGATTGACATTTGAAATTAGGTAAATGAAAGATGTTCTCAGACCCCAAACACATTTGCTCTCTTGGGAATTAAATCAAGGATGTTAATTCCTTCTTTTCTCCGTTCCTTCTCAACCTCTACTCAGATACATGTGTTTCCTCCCCAAAAGTGTCAATGTCATTGGCTTGCCCTGCCTGTAATAACACTAAGCTAAGCGGCAACTAATGAACTCTGCTGGGTTAGTTAAGATTGCCTGAGTTCAGTCTGCACAGCTGACAAGGGAGCCTCTAACCAATGCAGTAACTGCTCAGGGTGGGTAAGGCTCATGGCATGGGGGACGGAGGAGGATGCCCAACCAGGCCTATATCCTTCAGAATGCCACCCTGCATTCCCTAGCCAGCGTTGGGCAGTAGGGACCAAACCAGGAAGGTTTCAGGTTGAAATGATCAAAACCTCAACCTACTGTATCCCACAGCACTTAGCAACTCCTTCACAGTGTATCTGTAAAGTCTCTTGTATAACTGACCCCATGAGGCCAGCCCCAGCCTTTCTTTGCTAAAACCCAGGTAGTTGATATGCTTTCCCAAGGCCAACCAGCAAATTAGTCTAGACTTGAATTTACGGGTCTTTTCTCTAGATACCAAACAGCATTTCACCCTCTAGACCTTGTGCTCAGCCTAAAATTAAAATCTTCGTTTAACACTGGCTATGTCCTTTTTGCATT